TCTCAAGAAATCAAAAGCATCAATCCCCACTGACATAAAAAATAAAGTAAAATAAAATAAAACAAAATAAAATAGTATAAAATAAAATAAAAATAGTATAAAAAAGGGAACCTTACACACACACATACGCACTTGAGTTGAACATAAAAATCATTTGCATAAAACAAGGGCCAACCGGAGAAGTCCTTGTATTGTCCTTGCGTTCCCTGAACATAATTTTTAACAGCTGTAAAATAATTTTGCCGCAAATAGAAAATTACCATTGAATGGTAGAAATTCTGAACAAAGTGTAAACAGAAATCCGTAGCAAATGCAAGGATATGTGGGTAAAATTGATGATTGAATAATTCCCAAACATTGAATTAAACTACACACAAACGAGTATTTCTATTTATTTGCTGCAAAATATTTATTTGATATTTACCGAGTTCTGCTCTGTTGCCTACGGTTTGGCATGTTTATTTTACAACATTGTCTTTATCCTATGCCTAAAGCTTGAGGGGTCCTTCGGTTGTTTACTAACTTTCCCACTATCTATCTCTTAGGGTCACTTGTGTTGTGCGTTTTTGTTTTTACTTGCACTATTTTACATATTTTATAATGTCTTTTTACATTCTTACATTCAGTTCATTCTATACTAAATACATATATATATATATAATTTTTTTTTTCTTTCTATTCTTCTTATGTAACTACAACAAAACAGTACCACCAAGGATTCATCACATTAGCACCGGCGGACATTTGCAAGTCAAAAAAGGTTCATCAGTGCGTATTGAGTGTTCAGCCTCCGGTAATCCGACGCCAAACGTAACTTGGAGCCGCAAGAATAATATTTTGCCCAACGGTAAGATTTGCATAAGTACAAAAAATGTTAATGTAAATAAAAATAACTTAAAATAATTTCAATGAAAAAGTTTAAATATGCACCAGCACAACCAGAGTACCGGAGCGCCACAGTACCAGAGTACCAGAGTACCAGAGTATTAGAGTATTAGAGTACCCATAGTACACACTCCAACTTCATTGGAACACATAAAAAAACTCGTAATAAAAATATATAAAATTAACTTTTTACCACAACACAAAATTATGCATACAATAAACGCTTTAGTACGGCATAATTTATAAACTTTTACTTGACAATTTCGCCCATAAAAATTTATACTCGCCTATATATAAAAATGTATCTACACTGTACTCTGTCTGCACTCTACTCTCGACTGTACGCTGCGCGTATGTACGAATACGAGTATCTATAAAAATTATTTACGATTTTTTATTTTATTTTTGCTTTTAACAGAAATGCTTAAACTCTCAAAATTTCAAATTTTCAAATTTTCTAAACTTTATTGCTTTATGGTAAAATTTTAGGAGAGGAGAAGCTGCACTCGCACGTTCTTTCAATTGAAAATGTGGACCGTCACAAGGGCGGCGTTTACATATGCACGGCCAATAATGGAGTCGGTCAACCAGCTTCCAGTCAGGTTGTCCTACATGTACTTTGTAAGTAAAAATTTTGCTCTATGTGTAAATTGAAATTTGTTTTTTTTATGCTTTCATATTTTTTCATACTTCAACTCAGGCAAGAAAAAAATTAAATAAAATTCCGCAACGACATAAAAAATTGTATAGTTTTTTTTTTTTTGTTTTTTCTGAAAGGACTTTTCTTCACATCACACAAAATTGCATATTTTCATGAATATCTGCAGCGGTTTTTTTCATATCAATTCTCTTGATATGACTCTTTCAGTGGTCGCTTGGATAAACCAATTTGTGTCAAATCAATTTTTGCGCTTTCTTCAAAAATTTCATTTGATGGCTTGATTTTTCTGCTGATTAACATTTATGCCATCTCAATTATTTTGCTACTGCATTTTACTGCAGAACTTTATTGCATTTAATATTGTTCCAGAATTGAAATAATATTTTCTGAAATGTTTGGCATTTATTTTTTACAATTCCATCAAAATCTTAATTGAAATGTACAGCAATGAAATATAAAATTGACAAAATTTCCATGATATTTTTATTGAGTTTGCGATATTTATTTTGAGTTTAAATGCCAAATAACACAAATAAATCTTTTATTTGATATGTTTTTATTCAGTCAAATATATGAAAATCAAAGAATTTGTATTGAATTTATGTATTTTATCTTAACACACTTGAGTGTATTTGAGTGAAATATTCATCTTAATGCAGTCATAAACGTTTTAGGTCTTAAGTTATGGTTTTGTCCTTAAAACTTGAGAGTTATAAGATATTTATCTGATAAACATCGTTCATCCTTTTGATATATTATGTACTCAAACATATATATACACATAAAAGAAGAAGATGATTTATGTGATTGTATTGTTCTATTAACTAATTTTGAAGTTTTCTACTCTTTTAGTTTTTTATAAAGAATATCTTCATAAGTTATTAGTATTTGCAATTGCGACTATTATCCGGTTTCCTTCTACGAGGCTAAATCTTCCCTTTCAGTGGAAAGTTTTTTTTAGATGGTGGGTTCTAAACCCGACACATAACCTTATATATCCACGACAAGAATTTCGCTACACATTATTTCACTACGCACGGAAGATTGTAGTTATCCAGAGTGGACCAAGTGGAGTATGTGTCAACTTGAAGAGAACAGTGACAAATAACGCGCTGGCATTTATCAAGTTAAATGCAATTAGACACTTTAATTTATATATATAAGGTAATATAAGGATATATACATACTATACGTAACATACTGAATAATATTCTGTAGTGCATTTTTTACAATGCGACTGAAATGGTTATTTTGATAACTTCGACTGTTTTTATTTTATGGCTGATGAGGAAAATGACTTTAAACACCCATAAGATACTCTTCTTAGATTAAGAAAGAACAGGGTACTAGCTCCCATTTGAGCAGAGCACCGCGACCATGATTGATCTTTTGTACTACCTCTCTTCTTAGATATACACTCAATAAAATATGTTCAAACCACATACCAAACCAAATTTATCTGATCATTTTGTTAGGAAAATTATTGCTCATATGGTTTAGAATATATGAAAACCAATATGTGGTATGATTGAACCAACATGATGCATCGAGTAAAAATATTTTAACTTGAGAATGAAGAAAATATTTTAACTATTTTAACTCACTCACTAACTCACTGAAAACTTTTCCACTTTCACAAAGAACATGTCTAAACATCCATAAGACTGTTTTGATAAGAATATTACCTGGTTTGCGATAAAAAACGCATAATACTTCTTTCTCCTTGACCAGATTTAAATGCATGGCTCAGTACATATACAATAGTGAAGTATGCTCTATTATGCATTTCTTGTATGTTAGAGATAGAATCGCCGCCCTCATTTCAATATCAGTTCGTATCCTCGACAAAAGCTGTGTTATGCGAGTATGTGAAATAAACAGTTTCATTCGGGTATTCGCTTCGACTGCAATCAAAGAACGATAGTCGGCTTAATCGTCTGCTATTGTATCTGCATCACTCTAGTTGTTATGAATGATCGTTAGGCATTAAAAAAAAATTTAAAGATATCAAATCATATGATCAGAATGTATTGTGTTGCTTATGGCATTTTTCTATTGAAACCACAAGTCTTCAACATACTCTTAATATATTTATTTAAACGCCAAAAACATTAGTAGATCTATGGTTGTAGCGATAAAAACTCGTGGTTCATGTCTATCATAAGCCTTTATCATTTCAAAAAAACTTGTCACACATGTTGTTTGAAAGCCACACCATATAATATTTTCTTGTGGATATAATGGTGTTTCACTGGCGACAATTTTATTCGTTATTGGAACCGCTAGCGAAAATTAAGCCCCATCAGCGATAGAAAGTTTGATACCAATATAGTTACCATTATTGTATTCAGTTCTTTTAACTATAATATGTCCAATAGCTATCAAATGACACATGTTATTAAATGGCAATCCTTAAATTAAACGTACACAGACCTCTGTAATAATTCTGTTTAATACATAATATCACCGTTAAATTGCGGTCAAATCAAGACCATGACGCTATCGAACTTATTACAGACCCTAATAATTTCGGGTCAAAAAATATTTTTTCTATATATTTTTCTTCTTCTATTTAACATATGTCACTGTAATGTTAATCAGAAATCAGGAGTACGAAATCGATAATCTGAAATTATTGTCGTATATATAACTTATTACCTTCGACCAATCATTATTTTTCTATTTAATTTTCTTGTATATTTTCTTTTTTTTAATTATTCCAAAAAATATTTAAAATTAAATATTGTTAACAATCGCATACTTAACGCCTTCCACCACACAATTACAGATCCACCAGAAATTAGTGTTGAACGTGCAGTTGTATTCTCGGGCGAAGGACATGAGGCTATGTTGGTTTGCATTGTACATGGGGAAACACAACCTGAGGTAAGCAAAAATCTGATTTCAATTATGCATTTATACAAAGTAAAGTAAAAGATAAAACTTTATTTAACAAATAAAGTTTCGAATATTTAATTTATGATTACAAACAGTATTCATTTGGCCACGATTAAATGGTTTTTTCCAAACATTAACAGCCATAAACAAAAAATAGCCACTACTTTGTTGAGGTAAAAAATGCTAATGAAAATATTAGAACAAACGAAAAAGTATATACAGTGAAATGAATAAAAGTGCAATAAAAATGCAAAACAAGTATTTTCAATTAAAATTTCAGAAAAATAAATTATAATAAAAATAAACTCTATTGTACAAAATGTTTTTAACACAAAAAAAGGTATTAAAAAATATAAATTATTTGCAACTTTGTGCAGTATTTTTTTTCTCATATAAGCGCATCCATAGAAAGTATCTGAATGAAACTATAAAATTTGCATAGTTTGCCAAAAACATTATTCAATATCCTTTTTTGCAAGCAAAATGAGTAAAGCATATTTAACAAAAAATCTGTAATAATTTAGAGACAACATATAACACAAAAACTGTTGAAAAATTTATTACTAAAATGTATTTCATTTATTTTTACTTTTATTATTGTCTTTATTTTTTATTTTTATATATTTTTTTATTTTTAATTTGTAAATACAAATTATGGCTTCTCGAGCATTTAAGGATATTTTAGGTTTTAATGCTGAAAGCGGATATGTATTTAATTTTTATCAGCAAATTACTTTAAAAGTTTGGGAAGCTTAATAATTATACTTAAATATTTCAGTTAACTTAATTAAATGAAAATTTTACATAAAATTTCAGATGGATTTCTAAAGATAGTGAAATACAACAACAACTATTCTTTTTTATATTTTTTTAATTAATTGATTTTTTATTTCACCATACAGGCATTTCAAATATTAACAAATACCCATCATCAGTGGTTTTGAAATTATTTTTTATATATATTTATATGTACATAATTTTTTAAGACTGTAAGTATCAAGAGTTAAATTCTTGCCCTACCAAATTTTAAGCTCAGAGTCAGCGTCCATTAGCCAACTGTCCCAAAGCCAGACCTGACTCTATAAAAAAATACAATAATTTCTTTTAAGTAAAATATTCACTACCGTCATAATTGACAAATTACAATTTATTAAATAAAATAATTTTTTCAAAATTTTAAATTAATATTTATTACTTATAAATTCAGCGATAGGTAACATTTTTAGGAGCCTATTTGAAATGAACCATTTTTTTTAAATCAAAACGACTTATACAGAAATTAATAAATGTGTTTATTGTATAGAAAATTATTATAAAGATTTTTTTAAACTATAATTATCTTCAAAGATATCTCCTAAATTAATTATTTGTTTATTATGTATATAACAACATACCAGGATTAAAACAATTCAAATCATTTATTGGTACCTATAACAATAAAATATATCAGGATTTTATGAACTTACAAAAAGAAAAACTTAGAATCATCACAGGAATTCTAATACTGTAAACTGAAACACCACCTTACGAGACTGGGAATACTTACGGATGCAAACTGTAGATTCCGTGAAGAGAAGATTATGAGGAGTCGGCCACACATGTGCTGTTAGAATGCCCTGCGCTAATGTACATACGGAATAAGCTCCTGGGAATGTATATTCTTACGGAAGAGACAATAAAACTCTGTGAAGTACGTTTTATGCTACTTTTTATTGATGCAACAGGGCTTAGAGACCTACTCTAAACGCAGAAGGGGGCCACATCCCCTAACAATAATAGTAATAATAATAATGTATATAGCAATAGGTACAGAAATATCACAACTTGCAAATAAACTATTTTATCAGAAATTAAAAAGACTGCATACTTAAAAAATTTATTTATTTTAAACGGAGACATTAAAAATATATCTTAGAAAATAAAATAAGCTTTAAAGATACTTTTTGAACTAAAATTATTTATTGTGGATATAGCAATAGATACACAAATATCATAAATTATATATAAATAATTTTATTAGTAAATTTTTTGTATTATTACTTTTACTTAATTTTTTTATTATTATTACCCTGTGAAGTTAATGGTCAAGCCATGTATAATGTTGTTGCATTGTGTCGCTTCCGAAAAAGCCGAATAGAAGGTTTAAGTACCATCCAAAATTAGGATATAATGAACTTCAGTCATTTCTTTTGAAATAATTACTATGAAGAAAGCTATGACCAATATCGTCTTGTAAAAGTAAAGTATGATAGTGATGTATTATTAACAAATACTTTAAGTTTATTATTGTAGAAAAATTAATATCGTAACTTAATTTATTGTAATTAACATTGATATTTTTATTAATTAAGTTGTTACTGCCCATAAGACACTGGTTCACTGCGTCAATTAAAATTAACCTTGCTCTATTATTATATATGCTTTTTTAATATTTGGAGTTATTTTTTTTATATTAAAATTTTTTAATTACTACTATTTTAACAATTTTAGTTAAATAATAGTTTTTTCTTTTTTTTAGAAAAACTTTTGCTATATTTTTGACAGTATTTGTTATTTTTACGTTAATTAAAAATGGCTTCGCTGTTGTGTTTTCCATTTCACTGTTCCCAGCTATTTTTCCAAAAGCACAAAACTAAACTCCTTTCACACGACATTAAACTATGTTAATATTTTTTTCGCTTTATGCCGAGCCATTCACAGTTTTTACTATTCAGTTTTTTATACGAGTATACATAGTTTTTATTTTATAGTTTTATAAATTTTATGTCATTAACAAACACATTTATTTTTAATTTTTTATTTAAATTATTTCGCACTCAAATACTTTTGTACCGCATAGTGAAACATTCACATTTAAAAATATTTTCCATTTCGTGTTTATGGAAAGTTTTTAATTAAAGGAATTATTCGAGGGTGAATATTGAAATGGAACATCTGGGTCAGAAAACTTATGAGCAACTCATCACTTTAATTGCTAAGTGTTTGTAAGAAAAGAGGGTTCCACATTTAGAGCGTTTAAATGGAAGAGGTAGCGAACCAGCGGTGGAATCTTGAAATATAACTGTTTTACTTTTAGGTCAAAAACGTACTGTTGGTTTACTGGTTTTCTTTATACGAAATATTGTTGATTTTACTTTTGTAAAAAAATATGTGGGGTCAAAATTGCAATCAAATGGTTACTTATGCATTTTATAGCAAATTTAATGACATATTTTATTTATAGAAGAAAGTTCTAGGTCTTTGATGTAAAGAGTATATTGTACGCTTTATATTTCTCAAGATTTCTTTGTAGATCTATTCAAAAATTTATACTATTAAATGTTTATAAAAAATTAATATAGTTAAAAAGAAATAATATTATTGTTTAATTTAATTTTAATTTAGATTTTCAGTTGCTATTAGACAAGTCCTTTTACTTTCTTCAAAGCTTCTTATGAAAGTAAGCTGGGAAAACTCTCTGATACACACTTCACATTACGTGACTTAATGTCGATTGAATGTTGAACCTTCTTAAGTTATTGCTGTTCTGCTAATGTTTGTTGTCTAGAAAACTCTCTTACAACTTTCTGGTGCAAAGAAGCAAGATAAAATCTAGTTTTTTATTACTTAAATAATGTATTGGTTATTAGCTTGTATTACAGTCACGATTGCCACATGTGGTACTTAAGTACCAAAATTGGTACTTACTTTTCCGTATGCAAAAATATACTTGTTTTTAGAAAATGGTACTCTTATCAATTATAAGAGATTAATAGAAATAATTGAATTTCAAAAATAAAAAAATTTTGAAAAATATGTTCATTTAGAAGGGTTCGAATAGAAATGAAAAGACAAAAACAAAAATTTTAGTAAATTTATTGAAATTTTTAAATTCAAATATTTCCTAAAGACCACTGATGATGAGTACTTCGAAATATTCGAAGCAGCCTTGTTTAACTGTCTTATAGTAAAATTTCAATAAATGAACTTAAATTTGTATTTGTTGTATTTTCGATACTATTCGAACCCTTCTAACTTTTAAATAGTTTCTTTTCGTCATAAGACGCGTCACTTTGCACAATAAAAATTAATATTATATTCATTTATATTTTTATCTAAAATCTCTTTATATACATAAATAAAGAATTCAATGAAACATCCGGCGAGCAATTATTCTATACATAATTATTTACATATTAAATTGTGCAGAATACTGTTTCAATATTTAAATATTTTTTATTCTATTTTATATATCACGTATCTAATATTAAAGCACTATTCTAAGATAAAGTGTTTACAAGTGCTTGTTAGTAGCACTGAAATTGTATTTTTTTTTAAAAACATGAACAATGCATTATTACCATCAGTGATCTTTGGAAATGTTCACTGAGTTTTTAAGTCCATGGAGAATTGTAGAACTACAAGTACCAGGCTTAGAAATGTGATACTCTAAAAATAGAGACAAAGAGTTCCGTATTTTGATTATTTGATTATGATTAAAAAAGTATGTGGCAGTATTATAGTAAAAATAAAATTTTAATTAAAATTTTTGATTACGTCTTTGCTCGTCTTTGAACTGCTTTTTATTTTAACAGCTAAATAAAATTAAGTTGTTATTGTAATATGATATGGATATGATGCTTATTACAATATAAAGAATTAAAATTAAAAATTTAAGTAAAGTTTGGAAAAAGAAGTCCAACGAGGTTTAGTGATTCATTTACATTCTCTGAGTGTAATATTAGAGGAAGTGGGCAAATATATATTAGAGGAAGTGGGCAAATATATTGCTTTTATAATTTAAAAATATTTTCCATAATGAAGTTTACATATTAACTACACTAAAAGTCAATAGTTTTGGCAATATAACCACGTTTGTTCATTGTAATTTTATCTAATCGTTTATCTAATATATTTATAAATTAAAAAAATTGAGATATGTTCTTCAACCGAAATTTGAGCTCCAAAGTAGCGCATTTTTAATATTATCATGATTACACCTTAATATG